GTTCCTGTACAAGAATAGTGCGGGGAAATTACATTCTTGGGGATCGTTCCTGTACATGACTAGTGCGAGGAGGAAATTATGTTCCTGGGGGGCGTTCCTGTACACGAATAGTGCGAACAAATGACATTCTTGGGGATCGTTCCTGTACATGACTAGTGCAAGAAGGCAATGACGTTCCTGGGGGGCATTCCTGTTCATGAATAGTGCAAGAAGGCAGTGATGTTCCTGGGGGGCGTTCCTGTACACGAATAGTGCAAGGAGGAAAGGACTTCCTGGGGGGCGTTCCTGTACACGAATAGTGCAAGAAGGAAAGGACTTCCTGGGGGGCGTGCCTGTACACTAATAGTGCAAGGAGGAAAGGACTTCCTGGGGGGCGTTCCTGTACACCAATAGTGCAAGGAGGAAAGGACGTTCCTGGGGGGCTTTCCTGTACACGAATAGTGCAAGGAGGAAATTACGTTCCTGGGGGTGGGGGGCGTTCCTGTACACGAATAGTGCAAGAAGGAAAGGACTTCCTGGGGGGCGTGCCTGTACACCAATAGTGCAAGGAGGAAAGGACTTCCTGGGGGGCGTTCCTGTACACTAATAGTGCAAGGAGGAAAGGACGTTCCTGGGGGGCTTTCCTGTACACGAATAGTGCAAGGAGGAAATTACGTTCCTGGGGGTGGGGGGCGTTCCTGTATACGAATAGTGTACAGAACACCTCTATGTTGCCATATTGCATTTAATTTTTTTCAATTGTTTAAGAAAACTAGGGCGCCCCAAGATCGAAATGGAAAGGCCATGTTTAATAACTTTACATTAATAAATCGCTTGTATGGCAATTTTATATGGAGTTCTCCTTTAATTGCGCTTCAGAGGGTCCCCAGGCATACACATGCAATAGGAATGTAAACTATGAACTGTGCGTGGCCTTACCTCCTCGCCATGTTTCTGGAGCAGCTCCCGAGGTCTGTCTTGTAGAGACGTATTTGTGAATAGATTGTTGTAAACATCTCTTACATTAGAAACGGCAGAAAAGTATTTTGTTTGGATCAAAGTTCTTTCATTAGATTCCAAATAAAAATCCTGATGAACTCGAGATGACTGAGGCTACGAAGACAAACAAACTTTGAGCGTTTATAAGGCCTTGTTCACACCAAGCGCAGCAGGTGCAGAGCAGATCAGTTGCAGACCGGATCAAAACTGCATCCAATGTATTCCAATGGTTGGTATTTTTTGCTCCAGTTCACATCGCAGCGTGCAGGTCCAGAGCAGGTGAAAAAACTGCAGCAGGCCCTATTTTACCTGCTCTGGTTCTGCAAACGCATCAAAAACACATGCAAATGCCTGGAACGCACTGAAAGCCCATTTTAAACTTTAAAAAAAAGCCAAAAACGCATCAAAAAGACTAGCGCGCGTGTGCAGAAACCTGACCGGATCTGCTCTGCATTTGGTGTAAACATGGCCTAAAGGATGGATGCAGTCTTTTTAATCCATTTTATAATTGCCTGAGAATGATGGGAAGGGGGTTTAACACCGCGGATGTCAACTGGTTAATAAAAGCGGTCAATACCCTCCGAACATACGAGCAAAAAAAATGTGGGACATCTCTGCTTATTAATTGAATACAGCACAGCCACCTTCCTCATTGAAATGGTTATCATGTATTAAGCCGGGTGAGTGGTAGGATTTCCAATCATCTGTATATACACTGAGTGGCCAGATTTTTATGACCACCCCATCAGTACTTCGTTGGGCCACGAGATGACTTCGTTGGGTCGCCTCGTGACTCCACGAGATGATGAAAGGTGATGCGAGGAATCTGACACTGCACTGTTGCCCTTCTGTTGTCTTGTACCAGTCTTGCCACTCTCCGTTCTGCCCTAACATTGACTAGTCGCTGACGGCCACAATTCGCACGTTCAGACCCAGATTTTCGGCTGACAGTCCAGTCTTTAAACACTTTAACAAAAGCTGCTCTTGAACATTTACCGAATTCTGCTGTTTTGCTGATACTCGCTCCGTGGCTCCGAGCGCCAACAATCATCCCACGTTCAAAGGCTGTTAAATCGCGTTGTTTACCCGTATCTTCAGAAACAAATCACTTCTACTGCCGTGGTAAACAACCCGCTTCCCTATTTATAATGGTCTGGCCCTCTAGCAACTTCAGCGCAAAATTATAGCTAATTTGCCTACAAACGTCAGGTGGTCATAATAAACTGGCCACTCAGTGTATAGCCGACCTGACCACAGGCAGCCATTTTTTATAAACTTCCCTTAAAGGAGGCGCCCAGCATCTGCAAAATAAAGAGCCAGCAATGGCAGCCTGCAGATTTCACTCAGGAAAGGTTTCCATTAAAATCCTTGAGTGATAATCATAGGTATAGACCACATATTGGTCACAAAATATACGTTCTTGTGTGCCACTGCTGGTGGTGTTGAGTTATACAGGCAGTCCCCGAGTTACATTCATCCGACTCCTACTTACAAACAGAGGCTATTACTGTACAGCAGGGGTGGTTTTAATACCACGGTGCTTGTGCCGACAAGGAGTTCCCGCCTTTTTGGGTCTGGTTTGTATTACTGTACGTACCTTACAGGAAGTTGGCTCTTGTTAGACGTGCAGACGAGGGGTGCCCGCCTCTTCTTCTGGGTCACTGTGAGGTTTTTACTGCTGTCTTTATCTTTATTAGAAAGATTTAATCTCACTTCCTGTCCTTGAGACAACAGGAAGAGGAAATCTACAACTAGGAAGGGAAATTCACTCCTGTAAGAGTGATCATGGGAAAAAGGTGTCTCCACTGAAGCTTTGTCACCAATCCTTGTTTCCACGACAACCCAAAATTTTCAAAATCTAATTGTCACAAGGACAGAAAGTGAGGTGAAATCTTCTGAACAGGGGTACACACAGCAAAACAAACGTTACAGGGGGTAAACCCTTCACTATGCTATCCAAAACAAAACAAAAATGGGGCTGGAGTTACACTTAAAAATTTACCTGTTCCAACTTACAAACTAATTCAACTTAAGAACAAACCTACAGTCCCTATCTTGTTCGTAACCCGGGGACTGCCTGTACAACTATACATAAACCCCTGCTATAATTTAAATGTGAACAGCCTGAGCTTCCAGTCTTCAGCCACTAGATGATGCTGTGCATATTGCAGCTATCTGCAGCAACAACTGTACTAGAGATGCTGGGGATACCATAGTTGATATAATTCATCTTTGTCTGAAGTTTGTGAAATTAATTAATTTACAAAACAACTAATTATTGTGGCTGTCGGGTCTGATGGACTTCTTTAATAAATGTTCTTGTATTGACCATATTAGTATATTCTAAGTGTCTCCAGTTATGAAATACAGCTCTATACAAGTCCATAATGGCATATGCAGCAAAGAATTTTGGCCCAATGAGAATGGAGGAGGCCGCCGCTATCTTCCACATTATGCAGGGTCTTTCTATATACAATTCATAAACCGGCCACCAGCCATGCGACTGTTTCATGGGATGAGCAGAGACCGAGTGGTTGTGGTTGGAGCGGGGAGGGGCCTCATCACATATGAACTGTCTTGTAATGAACCATTGGGGTGCTTTTTTGGGTGAAATCATGGAAAGAAAAATGGTTCTTGATACAATTATTATTTTATTTCAGCCATGATAGAAAAATAAATCCTTATTAAAACCCAAAAGCAGGAGAAAAAAAAAACATACCCAAAGCACCATAGTATGTACAGAAATAAATAGATCAGCATACTAGCATCAGATGTACAGTGGACACAAAGTTCTGATGGGGTTATACCACCTATCTTTTTAAGGCCAGAGGTCAGGGATGTCACCCATCCACTCTCAGGCCAGTGGTCAGAGATGTCAGTGCAGCACCCATCCACTCTCAGGCCAGTGGTCAGAGATGTCAGTGCAGCACCCATCCACTCTCAGGCCAGTGGTCAGACATGTCAGTGCAACACCCATCCGCTTACAGGTTAGCAGATGGGGAGGGTAGTGCAGCACCCATCCACTCTCAGGCCAGTGGTCAGAGAGGTCAGTGCAGCACCCATCCGCTTACAGGTTAGCAGATGGGGAGGGCAGTGCACCACCCATCCACTCTCAGGCCATCGGTCGGGGATGTCAGTGCACCAGTGCAGAGCGGTACAGCTCAGGGTTTTGTCGTCACAATAGTCTCGCATCGACCCAAGTCGGCAGACCCAAGAGCTTTTTGAGCTGCAGAGTGTATTTGGACTGGAAGAATTTATGTATAGAAATTTGGAGACTGAAGCTCTGTAAACAGCCAATGTCAGAAAATCTCTTCTGCATTCCTGACCCGTGACTCGCACAGCTCCGATAATCTGGAGACCAGTTCCGTTAGGCTGTGCTCCCCGTGCTGTTTGCGGTCTCTGGTCCGTACATTGACTGTGCCGTTCTGTTTTTCTCTCTCACCGACCACTGGAAAGGAAAGAGGAAATCTGGGATGAGCCCAATACATACAGAGGCATTGAATGAAAGTGCTACCAATGGCTTCATTCAGGGGTAGGCAACCACGGCACTCTATCTGCTGAGGAACTACAAGTCCCATGATGGATTACAAGATAAACAGCCACAGGCATGACTTGTAGAGGGACTTGTAGTTTCACAACAGCTGAAGCGCTGAGGTTGCCTACCTCTGGCTTCATTCGTAGAATCATACATTGACAGGTAAAACAGTTCCCATATATGGAATTGAAATATACCATTCATGTGACTTGCACACATTAGGTCCATAGTGGATGGAAGTTGGGAAGGGATAGACCTTCTGTTAGGTTTGTATTTCTAACTGTGTTCCTGCTGGGAAGAGTCACCCTCTCTATTAGTCCTGGTGACTGAGAAAGTAAGGGAAGATCCAAAATGTTAGAGCGGTCACCACCAAAGAGTGAGCGTAAACCATCCAATGGGGGAAAATGTTGGAGTGACAACTGTCTAAGATAGTAATTCCCCTGTTGTAGTGATGTCCTCTCATTTCCTGTTGCCTCACCAGGATAGGAAACAAAGGGAAATCTTTCCAGCAGGAGGACACAGACCACAAAAAATAATGCGATAGGGGTTTGAACCCTTTTCTTACCTTAAAAATCTGGTTCCAAATACTGCCAAGAGAGCTAAAGGACCCCCTCCCCCACCACTGCTGTAGTCATTCGTCCAGCACATCTGCTCTTATAACCTCACTGCATGGTCCCTAGGAGAAGAGCTGTGGAACCCAGGAGCTGGGACCCGATACTTTGATCTACTTGCCCTCATGGTGGACGTTTCCCATACCCATGGTGGTATCATGAGAAGAAACGCTACATACCGAGAATGAAATTGTACTGCGCCAGCTGAGCCTTGCGGATTTTCTTGTTGAAGGTGGTTCCTTGGTCCACATCCACGTCCACCATGAAGCCACAGTCATGAATGATCTGTTGTACCTGCTCAGACAAGAAGGGAAAGGTGAAACAAATGCTTACAGTACAAGTATGATGACCCCTATCACATCAATAGAGAAGACCAGGGTCACTTTTACTGCCTCCCATTTCAGCAGAACTCCAACTGCCAGCCTGATTTTCAGCTTGTGTTCACAAGAATGTCATGAAGACATTTTACAGGTAATCGTTCAGATAATATACCTATAAACATGGTACGAACTGAACTGTTCTGTAGTTATGACTATGCAAATGAGGGGGGGTCTAGTGTTCAAGCTTGTCGGGAAGATTTTACCTCTCTTCCTGTCTCTGTGACCACAGGCCAAGAAATAGCCAAGATAGACAGTAATAAGAAGCTGTTCCGTCTGACCGGCATGCCAAGCAGATCTGCTGATTCCAGATATGCGATTATCCTGGCTCAGCTTACCACATAAGCCCTGATGAAGGGGGGACCGGTGAGGCCCGGAAATGCGTTGGCTTTTCTTGTGATCTCCTGTCATGTGCAGTAAGTGACTCACATTATATCCTTGGCACCCTCATCCTTCTCACATTCTTTAATAAGAACCTGGCAGAGGTCCTCACCCTTCCCAGTCTGCGATTTTCAATCACTTCCTGTGCCAATGGGGTACAGATTGCAATAAGAAAACCTGAAAGCATTCCCCACTCTGTCTGAACGTCTAGAAAATGGCTGGAGTTGGTCTTTAATGTGCGCAGTAACCAATAGAGAAAGGTGGACAATGTTACCTCCTGTGCGTAATCCTCAGTACTGGCTCCTGTAGGGATCACCATGACCTGGAATGGCGACAACCAGAAAGGCCTACAAAAGATACAGTACAGCCCGGAGGAGATTATTAGAACAGTACCTCAGCTCTGACAGATAAAACACCAATCCTAGAACACAGACTGCCCAATATAATGCAATATACAGCATTTTGTATTAAAACGATAGAAAACCGGGGCAGATGCCTATAGCAAATCAGACTTTCATTTTTCCAGGAAATAAAAGATTAAAGGCGAATTCAAACCCATCAGTGAGTAGTTTTACCTGCCAAACATCTGCAATTCTGCTCAGTCTTGTGGTTTCTACACCCCTGCTTCACAGCTTTGACGGGCAGATGACACAATGTTACATAGTATTTGAGGTTGAATAAAGACATAAGTCCATCAAGTCCAACCTATTGTATGTGTATGGTCCTACTGATGTCACCACTAGTTAAGCTTTCTGTGTCGCCGGCTAGAAGAGTCGAACAATCGACCACTAATGTGATTCCTTCCCCCCCTGACTACAGGTGGAAAAAAGTGACCCAGGAACTAAAAACTGCACCAGAAAACAGCGGCCTGGCTGTACAATGTAACAGAGGTATGTGAATCATGATGCGGTCAGAACAGAATTAACAATCTTAAGCAGAACCGCTCACGTTTTGTGTTTTTAACTGTTTCGCTCATTTACTGTTAGTTTTGGTGTATTTGACCGGTAATAGGATTGTGCCCTTTATTTGCACACACCTCACTCACTGTTATGAGCTTAGTGGATGTAGCTGCTGTCTTCCTGTGCGTGTCCATCACAAATGCTGATTGTCATGCTGTGTGGTGTGTAGAACCTTCTTTATACATTGTGAAGTCTGTGCTCCAGTAAGCCGTCATGTCCGTCAGGTGAAGCTCCCAGTGAAGGATGCAGCTCACAAGTGAAGCAAATGGCAACCGCACTCATCAATTCATAACTAGCTTTTAAACCAAGGTGCACATGGGAGGGCTTTACACAGTACAAACACTGACATTGTCCAGCACACTTACCACCCAGCCTGAAAAAACCCCCCAAAAACGACACAACTACTTATTACAAGGGTTAAAAACAGGTTTTTAGTTGTACATCTTTTGCAAAATATGTGGAAGCCCCTTATGTGACAGAACATTGGAGATGACAGGTGCAATTTAAGGTGACATTAGGGGTCTATTAGACCTACCTTTGCACTTCAAGGAAGCTGATCAAGCACAGACCGCGTTCTCTAGCCGGGGAACGACAGCTGAGAAGCCAGAAGTGATGCAAGCCGTGTCGCTTCCGGCTTCATCCAGCAGGGAGGAGATCAGCAAACAGACGTTCGTTGGCCTCTGCTACCTGTGACGCCAGTCCCAGGTCGGCAGCAGAAACTGGAAAGCAAGGGTGGGGGCTCCTTTTACCGGCCCCTGGAAGCGATCTGGCAGCTTTCCAGCTGCAAAAGTCACTTCCGGTGTAAAGCAGACAGTCACAGGTAAACAGCATCCCGGTGGCTGTGTACAGGGACCAGCACCGTAAGGGTCTGAGAGGACTGGGCTGCTTCCTGGCGTACCTGCACCCAATTCATCATTTGCTACGAATGCTCTCATAATAGATTAGTTAGGACCGCACTACACAGAGGGGCTTCAAGGAGGCAGTGTGTTTTCCACATACTTTACAAAAGCGGTGCAACTAAAAGCTGTTTCTAACCCTAATAGGCCGTGTCATTTGTTTTTTTTTGCAGGCTGGCTGGCATGTGTGCTAGGAACTTTTTGTTTTTGGATGCAGCTCACAGAAGACAAGCAGCTAGGCTTATCTCCTGCCAGTGACTTCTTGTGATGTGTGCAAAACAGTGGCTGCCCAGACAGTGGAAATGAGTCATTTATCAGCTTGATGTGCACAGCCAATTTTCTTACCACTTTCCGGCGTAATTCTCTGCCAGAATAGCCAACATCCTCTCCACGGAGCCCAATATAGCGCGGTGGATCATGACTGGTCTCTCCGCTTTGCCATCCTCTTTGCTGCGTCAGGAAACAAAAGGGGACCAGCTTAGCAAATCTTATTTCACAAGGACTGTTATCCTAGGTTACCGATCAGTCATCAATACAAACCGACCAGTAAAAAGGCACACTTCTTCATCACTTATTCTATAGAGTTGTGAAATCATCTCATGTCAGACAGGTTGTCTCATACCAACTCCCAATACAAGTGTACACAAGCCCCAACTGATATTAACACATCATGTTTTTTCCTGTTTATGGATGAAAAAGCAGAAGTGCAAAATACATAAAAACAGAACACCTTTCTATTGCATCAGCATTTGCACTGATCAGCCATAACATTATGACCACCTTCCCAATATTGAGTAGGTCCCTCAAAACAGCTCAGAATCCATTGAGGCATGGACTCCACTAGACCTCTGAAGGTATGCTGTGGTATCTGGCATCAAACCATCAGTAGCAGTTTCTCTAAGTCCTGTAAGTTATGAGGTGGGACCTCCATGGATGGGACTTGTTTTTCCAGCACATCCCACAGATGCTCGATTGCATTTAGATCTGGAGGCCAAGTAAACACCTCAAACTCTGTGTTCTTCAAACCATTCTTGCAGTGGGGCAAGGCACATTATTCTGCTGAAAGAGGCCACTGCCATCAGGTAATACCATTTCCATGAACCTGGTCCAAACCTAAACGCTACATAGGGCCACCTGTCCAATCTGCTGCAAGCCGGGGCATTCCCCGCCTCGCAGCTGGACATAAAGGGGTGGGGTGCTTGTGCCGACATCATAGACCTTATATGGCCACATGCCCATATTAGATCAAGGTCTTTAACGAACTATAGCCATATAAAAATCAGTGACATCGCATCCCATTCCCTTTGCTTATGTGTAGCTGCATGCCAGGTATTCCCCAGACGCAGCTGATCGGTTTGAACCGCTAGCTTCTCCAAATATTAAAGGGAGCTCCTTCTGCTGCTACCTATAGTTCATCCGTAGCCCTAAACACACTCCTACTAGTGCTGGCAAGCCAATAAGTTAACCATTATGTTTTTGGATTGCAAGAGGGAACCCACTGCAACTGTGGGCAGGACATACAAACTTCATGTAGATATTACCAATAGTGATTCATATTCAGAATGGAGAGCTGCACGGCAAGCATGCTAATCACTAAACCAGTGTAACTTATTAAAATGCATGGAAAAGGGGTTCTTATTGAATAATAGTCCTACTTTTCCTTTATAGCAAAGCACTGAAGACAATGTTATACTGACACAAAGTGCTTGACTTATTTTTTTTAATACGGGTGCAGTCACATGACCTCAAGTGGACAGGCAGCACCTTCCGGGTCTTTTTTTTTTTTAGCCCCTTACCTCCTCTACAGCACCCACTTGTATGTTTTTGGAGTAGTGTAGATATTTTCAGTCCACACATGTGACCACTCTCTAATACCTGTGGGTCTTACCATATATACATAAGTCAGGTTGAAAAAAAGACAAGTCCATCGAGTCCGACCTTTAGAGATATGGAGGAAAAAAAAAAAAAAGAAGAAAAGCCTAAACAGAACGCTATGCCTACAATTCCCCCCCTGTTGATCCAGAGGAAGGTAAAAAAACCCCTATAAAGCACGGTTCAAACGCCAACAGGGGAAAAAATTCCTTCCTGATCCCATAAGGCAATCGGATACTCCCTGGATCAACAATCTCTGATGCTTATATACCTATAAGAACCTATATATGAGCTATGTACATTGTGTAAGTTCTACCACACAGGAAATGTACACTATGTTGTCTGTCATACAAAGATCTATATGATACTATGATGTCATCAGTACTGAAGATTTTGTTTTCATGCCTTCAGGTTTTAACTCTTACTTCTACTCCGACAGTCATCTCCTTGGTTTACCTCTCCCTGGTCAAGTCATCGGTCGCTCATGTTGGTACAACACAGATTAAGATGGCATGCGGCTGTGTATTTCATACATATCAGACCGGCGAGACAAGATTACCCATCTAATACCAACATCGGATGACTAACGGTAAATCTATTTTGTGGCCAATGCACTACAACCAAAGGGAAATTTAGACTTATGTACTACAATGTACAAGGCTGAGTGCTGAAGACACACTGGTACCCATATGGGACACTTCAACTGTGACATCTTCTATTGTAAGAAGACCCAATGGTTGCTGATCTAGCCTATAGCAAATACCACGACAAATACTTTTTTCTCTGTAGCAATGTTATTTATAATCAATAAAAGGAACCCACTGGAACAAATCTGGGGGCAGACCTATTTTGGCAAAAGCATTCTTTAGAGCCATCATCCTTAGCCTGCAATTCAGTACATGGTAAACCACTTTACAGGGGAAAAAAGCACATGCACAGCAGATATCCTGACACAGCACTGGCTGACTTACCATGGGCAATTTGTATTCTCATAGGAACGTAAATGAAGCAAAAATACTACTGGCTTTAGCCCAACTTAAAGCAGAACTCTGGCTTTGAATAACCCCACTTCCTAGAGCACCCCTACAGTTAAAAGTCAAGCACCAAACTGCTTTGTAATGGAATTTTATTGCTGTATGTGTCCCCTATGGGGGGATTCACTGGGATAGAAAGTGATGGGAGATCCAAAGCTTTTGCAGTCACCAGAACCAAACGAAACGCTAGAGATGCCTTCATTTTACCATCACTGCAATCTCATCCAATAGGACTTCTAGGGAAGCGGAAAGACTTTCTAAATGTTCCTCTGAACAACTATATACAGTAACATGAGCATTGGTGATGTTCTGCGAAAGACACATATCATACTAGCTTATAATCACTGATGAAATCCAGTTTAATTTCCACATGAGTTTAATTCCAGTATGTGCCGGGTAGATTATAGCAGTCTACCCCGACTGTGGGAAGAGCCCTGGGCAATTGGCATCAGCGGCTAAATTTAGGTGAGGCACCACAAACTAATAGTTTTCTCACGTCAAAACACACATGTAATTTCCTGCCAGCTCGGCACGGATTTCAGTAACTTGCTAGACAAATCTTACCTCATATATGTGAGGTTGAAGCGGATGGGCAGCTGAAAGTCGAGTTGGATGGTGGCACACTGATGGTAGCGGCCCATGGCATCTTGAATCTGTATGTCAATCTGCATAGGGGGGGAACAAAAAATTGTTATCCAAATAATCTGGACATGTTGGATCCTGTGATATACAATGGCAATTAGTGACAGCTAACATTTTGGACAACCTAACCTCAGGGATGTCATGATGTCTAATGTTGAATCAAAGCTTTAAATAAATAACCAAGTGGTACAACCATCCGTGCCAAGCGGTCCTCACCACTCACTGACAGATTGATTTTCTGATCAAATAACCCCCATCATCATCATCATGATCAGTCCAGCAATCTACAACCATAGCACACAACCCACATATCGCCACATTTACACTAGTGCACCCCCACTGGTGGTACAACAAAGCATCCCCAGCATCATCGTTATCCATCCATCACTAGCACACACCAAATAAATGTAGAAGGGTACAGTAGCTAATGAGGGCATCTGTGCCCACTAGAAGATTTGCACTCATGGCCAGATTTCCATTTTTTTGCATATCCCATCACTTTGTGCTTATGAAAATTGTCATCGGACAAACCAATAAAACGAATCTCCCCAGCAGGAATTTAGACAGCAAATTAAAAGCCTAACAGAGGTTCTGACCCTTCTATACTCTATCCAAATATGAAAAAAGGGTTTGGCTACAGAAACACTTTAGTAAATAAGGACTGTGCCTGCCTTTATACCTTCTTGTTTATCAGAAGCAGTTTTTAATGAACACTTTAAAGTGAAGGAATGCGTTTCCCTAACATATAGCTACTGCCTCAGTACTGTCCATTCAGTAAAAGAGGGAGAGGAGGAAAGACCCATTTATGGCAACGAGAACATTGGTCAATGCAAAAGTCATAACCTCAAGATCTCAGTTTGCCTCACATGTCCTATTTTACTGCAAGCATCCTCTTACCATGTGCTTACCCCAAAAAGTCAGCTGCAAGCATCCTCTTACCATGTGCTTACCCCAAAAAGTCAGCTGCACGCATCCTCTTACCATGTGCTTACCCCAAAAAGTCAGCTGCAAGCATCCTCTAACCATGCGCAACCCCAAAAAGTCAGCTGCAAGCATCCTCCAACCATGTGCCAACCCCAAAAAGGCAGCTGCAAGCATCCTCTAACCATGTGCCAACCCCAAAACGGCAGCTGCAAGCATCCTCCAACCATGTGCCAACCCCAAAAAGGCAGCTGCAAGCATCCTCTAACCATGTGCCAACCCCAAAATGGCAGCTGCAAGCATCCTCTAACCATGTGCCAACCCCAAAATGGCAGGAATGGTATGAACCCGTATAATGGGTGACTATAGAAAAAAACTGCCTGCCAAAGTCCACCAGGCAATATTGGAGGACAGAGCTCATGAATTAGGAACATTTTGAGTAAACTAAATGTCATGCATTGGAAACCTGATGAACTTAAGCTGTATAGTAAGAAAACCTTTATTTTTACATGTAATTGGGATGTTATGGCTTTTATTGGGACATGTTCAGCTGTAGAGGTTTGATTTCCTATAATGAGACATTTTAAAGGGGTCATTAGAACATAAGAGGTGGAGGTGGGGACAAAGGAATCTATGGACTCTGACTCCTGACAAGTGCAACTGTGGTTTGATGGATTTCTGATGGGAGTCTAGCGTCAATCTGCTCCTATACAGACAGTACGATGGAATAGATCTTCACTGACTGAGTGCTGGTCCTCCTCTCTAAGCGTGTGTACTGCTGGGAAGCCAATATAAGGACAGCTTTCAGGTAGTAATAACAATATTCTAAAATACTAATATACCTTTTAAATATAATAATCTATTTAATATCTGACTGCGTTCAGCTTTGAGATTTACGTCTCCGTCGCAGGTTGTAAAAAGAAATATTAACAGCTGATCCAGCTTTCGATGCGTCCCCCTTTCTATGCACGTCCTACATGTAGAAGGAAAGGTCTCACCTTTGGACCATAAAATGCTCCATCTCCTGGATTCAGCTCCCAAGGAAGACCAAAACTGTCGAGACTTTTATTCAGTTCCTGAAATGAGTCCGGGAAGAATATCAATGCATCTATAAAAAGGAGTCAGACAATTTCAAGAAAACAGAAGCTGCATTTATACATTGTGGTGGGGAAAAAAAGTGACTACGCATAACATTCTTTTTTTGTTATGGCTTATCGGACTCATTTTTGTACTGGGGAAACAGGAAGTGAGAAATCACTCCCTTTCTGATCTGGTGTCCCCAATGGAAGAGGATTTTCCCCATACTCCTGATCTGGTGACAACTGAAACATTTTAGATTGCCAATCATTTTCTGCCACAGTGGTCACCGGAATAGAAAGTGGAAGGAAATCTCAGCAATAAAAACTTGCTGGGTTCCCTTCGCAGCCCTATCTAAAACTGGAAAAACTGTTTGGGCTGGGTTTCTCCTTAAGAATACATGATTCACACAACAGGAACAGCAAGCATTCCAATAGGTTAAGCTGGCCTTACTTCTGTACTTTCTCTTCTCGTTCAGCCCAGCTGCTCGGTGTAGATCAGGGATGTCCAAACTCCGGCCCTCCAGCTGTGGTGAAACTACAAATCCCATGAAGCATATCTCTCCAGGAGTCATGTCTGTGGCTGTGAGAATCTTGCAAAGCCTCATGGGATTCGTAGTTCCACCACAGCTGGAGGGCCGCAGTTTGGACATCCCTGGTGTAGATGGACAAATCTCCCTTGCTGGACAACTGAATTCTGACAGCTGGTTCCCACAGCTCCAATTTTGGCCAAGTCAGCAGGGCTCGGCCAAAATTCGAGCAGTGTATGGCCAGCTTTATCTAAGAGCAGATTAGTCAAATCCAAGAAGTCACAATGGTTACCTGGCTTACATGGATTTGACTAGACCTGAGGTGCACGCAGATGTGACCTGGAAAATGGTCTTTGGAAATTTAGTATCCTCCAGGGCAGCACACAGCATGCCAAACTGCAGGGGGCAGTTAATATGTACACTTGCTCATAATACCTTCCCAATGTAGCGGGGGGGCAGCGCCTTCTCAATGTAGCAGAGGAAGAGCCTCCCAATTAACAGAAAAACTTACCATTTCAGCCTTCTGCCAGACCTCCAGTTCACCCATGTACTGCTCAGGACGTGTGGAGAGGAACAGCTTAAATGTGAACCCAAACACCGTGTATACTGCACGAAGGAAGTCCAGGCAGCCATTGATTTCAGACTCCAGCTGCAAATTTAATAGAAGATATTTAATATTCTGCAGATCAAACCCCATTGAACACGTTTTAAAACCCTCAAAAGGTTCCGATATCTCATGGATGAGTGTTCCGTTCCAATGCACTCCATAAACCGCTCTCGCTAACACCCGCAGATCAGGTCTGCACTCCCTAAGTTTAAGGCGTTAAGCCCACCTGATCCATGGAGCAGAATATGTGGGCGTCATCTTGCTGGAAGCGGCGGACACGGGTGAGTCCCGTTAACACCCCTGAGAGTTCATTCCTGTGCAGCACCCCAAAATCAGCCAACCTTAGCGGAAGTTCTCTCCATGAACGGGGCCGGTGATCAAACATCAAGCTGGAAGTTAACAGAAAGCAAAAAGGATCAATTAGCATTTCCTGCAGACAAAAAAAATACAGCGATGTGGAATATTTTAAAACTTAGGGCAACTTTAAAAAAGGACTGCTAAGGACTCCAAGGACTAAAGCGGGGCCCGATCTACTTGTCCCTCATGACAATCTACTTGTCCTGATACAAAAAAATAGATTTTAACCAAAACCATATTTAGCAGTGCCAAGAAGAGCTTCTCATCGGTCAGCGCTGTTCAGGTGACCGCGCTGACCAACGAGTGCTTGAAATTTGTGAGCGAAATTCAGAATACATGGCACAGGTACAGATAGTACACCCGTACTGGCGGAGGGGAAGGACCGTTCGCCGAAAGGTAAGTATAGTGGGAGGGGGGCCAGATTTGTTCGGGTAATTCCATTTTTCCAAATTACTGGGGAGAGTGAATTTACACTGTAGGGCTGGTGCAGACTTGTGTGATCATGTGCGGTTGCACACAGCGGTTGCTGAAAAAACGTATTTATGTACCTCTTTTGGCAACACGCACCGGGCGGTGTTTTCAACCGCAATTTTGCGTGATTGCACAGGCGGTATTGAGGCGGGAACCTGCGCAATCTGCCTGGTGCGCCATTAGAAAATAAATGGCACTGCCAGCGAGATCAGCGGTGGTGTGCAATTCAGTGACCGCCTGGCCATCTGCGCAGTTTCGTGCACGATTGCCGCACATTCATATATCGCCTATTCTGCTCGCAGACACACAATGCTCTATGCATGTGCTTATTCACATGCAGATGGTGGGGGCAGCGGGGTTGGTTTTAATTACTTTTTTTTTTACTTTGTAAAATGTTTATTGTTTTTTTACATTTTTATCTATTTCCATTTTTTATTATTTGTGGTTTACTTTTTAAAATTTTTATGTATTTATATTTTGACTGTATATTATTTTTTTTACCATTTTTGTTTCACTTAAACTTTATTGCTATCACACAGGAGCTAACAAGCCTGTGTGATAGCATTTGGAGGCGGCAGATTCTCTTTATTGACCCTGTTACCTCCAACACAGGAGTTCTAGCACAGTACTGTGCTTGTTCTCCTGTGACAGGAAGCCAGCGTTCCTGTGTCAGTTCTCTCACGGAGCAGAGAATGGACGTTCTCTGCTCCCCACTCTCCATCCTGATCTAGTTTGCCATGATCTTAGGTCCCCCAGAAGATCGGGCGTGTCCGAAGACCAAGGCGGGGAGGGAGCCAGCGACTGGTGACACGGCGGAGGGCAGCGGTTGGAGAGAGAGACGTGAGAAGGAGTGAGCAGAGGGGGAGTGAGCATCGTGCTGCTTACAAGTGATCTTGGACAACTGTACAGTCCCTTTGTCACAGGTCGGCTAGAACTATGAGGCGAGTGAAAAGCACTCACCTCATAGTTCTCCTTTAAGCTAATCATAACAAGGACTGAAGGATGTTTGTAAAAGCTGCCAAGAATTTCACTTCATAGGAATATCTTGTTTGTTAGATCTACAAAAGAAAACATTGTACACAGTATGCTCTGCAAAAGTGAGTCATGAAGTGTTTACTGCGATATACAGTAACCTCAGGATACAGCTGCACACAACATCAACACAAGTAGCTGCTGAGCAGACTGTGAATCATCCCAGCATGCTGCTTCTCTCAGGAAAAGGACTCCATGAGGTTAGCAGCTTTCATGTACCGACTCACCAGTGACCGGGGCAGTTCATAGGTTTCAGGGAGAAAGTCTCATCTTCCACGGTGAAAGAGAACATATTCTTTTCATAGTGCTCCCAGTGTCCAGACTGCTCCCACAGCTTATTTTTGTACATGTTTGGGGTGATAACCTCTGTGAAGCCGCGCTTCCTGTACTCGCTCTACATTGGATAAAATAGACAAGACACAGGTCAGCTCAAAATGATCACTTGATGAGCGATTAAAGGAAAATGTACTAGAAAATCATGAGGAATGTCTCTGCAACCAATCCTGCTTGCTTGTAGACGTCTAAAACCCATGACTGCCAAGTTGAATCTCTCCTTCACAAAAGGAGACACAAGTGAGACCTCCATGAGGGAAAAGGTAAACAATTCCAACACTCCCTCCCTGACAAGCAATTGGAGGCTATGCCCCTGCCTCTATCGCCAACCGTGACCCTGCCTCTAGCGGCGACCCTGCCGCCAGCGGCGACCCGCGACCCTGCCTCCAGCAGCACCTGCAGGAGAAGCAGGAAATGTGGAAGTTAAGAATGGCGAGAGGCAGTTCTGCTTTCAGACACTGACTCATGGAAGGGCTTAGTTATAGGTTGGACTCGTGGTCAAGTCTTCCCAGGAAATCTATAGGCATGAGTGACGCCAATACAACAACTACATACAGTATAGGCCAAACCTTCCTGAATGCTTCAAACTAGAAACAATTCAGCTATAGAACTTGAAATCATTCTCTAAAACAACATAATTAACTGGCTGCCAGAGAATCCCAGCACCACACCCTACTCAACCATCGCTAAAATGGCCTACCAAAGGGACGTACTGGAGATGACACCATGGAACTAACTTCCCAGCAATGCACACTGAAGACAAAAGGTGTGTAGTAGCTGTATGAGCAATAAGAAAAACATTCCCAACAGACGGCTCTGTGTTTCTAATCTGGCAAGAGATGGTTTTTAATTATCAGTGTCTCAAAAGCAGCGCACGCATAGCTCTCCTTACCTGCCAGTCGCCCAATTCATTCCCTGCTAGCAAGAAAAGACTTGAACAGAGGTGCTCAGTTTTTAATGTTAGATGTCCCAAGCACTTTCCCAGACTTGGGATTTCCCAGTCACATTCCTTCTAGAACTTAGAGCGACGTAACAAAAACGTATAAAGCCATAAAAATAGCACTTCATATAAACAAACGTTGTGAAAGTCACTTTGTTCCTGTATCTGCCCTTTCTGAGCACCGTTCTCACTACAACAATGGAAACTCAATTCCAACGCCTTAAACTCTGCCAGGAAAGCGAATAGTGATATTACACACACCATATTGTTCACACCAAATGCAGACCAGATCTGCACGGGTTTCTGCACACGCAGTGCAGCGTGTCATGCTGCGTTTTTTGCCGCGTTTTTGATGCGTTCCGGGCCGTTATTTGGGAAAAACCAGGGTGGTTTGCATGCTTTTTTATGCGTTTGCATGCGTTCCAGAGCAGGTAAAATAGGGCTTGCTGCAGGTTTTTTACATGCACTGGAACTGAACGCTGCGGTGTGAACTAGATATTTACAACAGCGATTCTCAATCTTTTTCCTGTCACAGCACCCTTTACAAGTATGCAAAATCTGCAGTCATCCCAGTCTAAAATGAAGAAAAAAAAAAAACAGTGTGTGGCCCCTACAATATCTATACCAGACCGTTACCCCAGATAGTGGTCTGGTGCGAATTTTAAGGGAGACCCCACAGAAAACCACAAAACAACTAGGGTTCTCACCTTCACAATCAGGAACCCCCCCCTTACACTAGGACTACCCCTTCAAAGTAGAGTCATTGGTCCCCCCGTGTCGGTGGTCCTCCCTTAACAGAATTCTCAGTCCCTCCTTCACGTCCGGATCTCATCAAAGCTCTATGAGCACATTAGGAGCTGCAACTTCCGCAGGATGGTAAGAGGTGGAACAGTCCTGGTTGGAGGCAAACCTCTGTCCTTTCCTGAGTGGATCCCATCCTCCCTGGATTACTGTCATTTGTTCCCATGGTGGCCAGCCTGCACCATGCAAAGACCATGACTCTATGAAAAAATTCCAAGGCACCCCTGAGGAAACCAGAAGGTACCCTGGCTAAGAAAGGCTGGTTTAGAAGACAGAAATGAAAGTATTCTTATAGAGAATGTTTTGATACAGCTTCAATGGCAGCCATATACGCTCCATTCAGAACTTGTTTATGTTTTTCAGGGTTTTTTGTAATTGTTTAATGAGAACGGTTCAATAAATCCAGCTCTTGCCAATCAGATATCTGCATAGACTCTGATAAAACACAGCTTTGTAGACACTTGTAATGGTTTTATCTAAACTTGAAAGTATTGTCTTCAAACAGAAAATGACAAACCAATTGCGGGTTTACAGTTCCGAGAGGTTTCTTTTCAATTCTTTTTTGTCTTCTGGTTGAGCTCTATAGACATGACTAACTAGGTAACTAGGTTAACAAAATGAAGCGGTGACTGCCGACTAGCTCTGTCCCAGCCGATCCTCGGACAAGACAGAACTACTACTGTAAAACAATGAAATCTACTACCTAGAATGAATTGGGTGCCATTGTAGTAAATATTCTCAGGGTCTCTATGGGGAAATAGAAGAGCAAATACCTTTATGAAGTCTATCAGGATGTTGTAGATGTGTGCTCCTCTTGGTAGAAAGAAACAGCTTCCAGGGCTGAATTCATGGAAAAAGAACAAATTCTGATCCTAGAAGAGAAGGGATCGTACAGCGATAAGGGAATACAAAATATTCAGCACTGCTTCTAGCTCAAAGATATCTATATTGCAGTTTTAGTGGGTACACGTTCTCATACTTTCATAGTTGCCTCCACAATAGTTAATCAATTCTATTTTGTGGTCCTACATCAGTACCAGATTTCACCAGCAGGTGATGCTGCATATAGTGGGAGCTCCCAGTCCTGCTATATGGCAGATGACAGGAGGATGAAAGTCTATAAAACACAAGGTTTTCTATTGGCAGTATTTGCTTATTAGTGTTTCAGGTTTCAAAGGACAGCTGTGCTTTTGGTAGAGTTGCCCTTTAAATAATCCTCCTCCTCCCATGCCCTAACTGCAGCCCTCTTGGTAAAATACTTGACGTCCTCCCCATACAAGTGATCTTCAATGTGCAGCCCTGAAGGTGCAGCTGAGCCTTTACAATGTAAACAACCTTGCCAGGTTCTCTTCCTACTGTGCACACTCCATATTCATTCCTATGGATGAGCCGTACTCTGCTGGAAGGCTGGAGGCTGCCATAAGTACTGGAACAAATGGGGTCATGGCGTGCATGCATAAACATTTTAATTGCTTTCATTCGCTGGGCAGGGGCACAGAGGGAAGATAGCTGGAACTGGGGTGGGTGGGGATATTTTACCAGGCTGGCTGCACCAGGGAAGGTGGGGATTAAAGGACACTGTACAAAAGGTGCACTTGTCCTTTAAGCTTCTTGTTTATGGTTCCCGGATTGGCTTTACCCTTCCTATCTTGCGATGGTCCCGGCTGGCTGCCTCTTCTTGCAGTCTCTCCCATTCTTTCATCTGTTTACTGTCAGGAAAGGAGATCCCGTACACTCTCTGTAATGGATCCTGTGTAGGGTCCGCTCTCCAGAAGGCCGATGAATTCTGTTATGAAACCAGAGGATACGATATCAACAGGAACACAACAACAGATCACAAAATGCTTTCAGGATGTAACATTGTTAGGATGAACCATTGTTAAAAAGAGTCACTTATACAACACAGTACGTTAGCGGTTATCTAAAAGTTCAAAGGATCAGAAAATATGGTCATTCTTAAGAATGGGGCCGGGTAAAGGGTCACGTTTGAAGTTGAATACATTTCATGGAGTGGAGTGAGGAGCAGTGTTAAGGTAGGTTTAAGGTAAAGGGAAATTGTAGTGTATTTTCAGAGAGCATATCTATTATTGCAGCAATTTAAGTAATTTTCTATGACTTTTTATCAAGCTTTCTCTTCCATATTTGTGTTATTGAATTAAATATAGAGAATTTTAGATTGGCCACTAGAGGGAGCTCTCGGTAGATATTGGCAATGAAGCTTCTCTTAAGGGCTCAGTCACAATACATGCAGTGCGTTCCGGCCCAATTTTGGCCAGACACACTGCCTCGCATTGCGGCCGGCTCACTTTTTAGCGGGGCAGGAGGAGGCGTGGCGGCCCATTCAAGTGAATGGCGCCGTAGCTACGCCCTCTGGCAGCAATGCCATCCGCCGCACGGGATCGCAAGGCACAGTGTGCCTGTGGTCCGGTTCTGTGCGGTGCGATCAATAGTGCTTGTAGCATTTTGATCGCACCGCACAGTACCGGACCGCAGGCACGATGTGCCTTGCGATCCCGTGCGGTGGATCGCATTGCAGCCGGAGGGCGAGGCTACGGCGCCATTCACTTGAATGGCCCGCCACGCCCCCTCCTGCCCCACTAAAAAGTGAGCCGGACGCAATGCGAGGCAGTGCGTTCTGGCCAAAGTGGGGCTGGAACGCACTGCATGTAGTGTGACTGAGCCCTAACTGCTGCTAAGAGAAGTGATCAGTCCACACAGGGAGTGCATTGTTTTCCATTAAACAAAAAAACCCTGCCCTTTAAATTCTAGTGACAGATTGCATCATAAACGTCATTTTTCTTGTTACACTTTAGCATGCAATTGAAAGCTGGATGAAACAGTCTGCAGTGTGTGTGGTCAGCATAAGGGTTAAGTGCCCGACCCAACACTTGCAGGGCTACTCACATAAGGGTGAAGAGTTTGGGAGAAGGCCGGAGAAGTGAACAATCTAGGCCGAAATAGCGGATCTGGAAAAACTCTCCAATTCAGCTCACTTTCCAGTTCAGCTATGTTGTCCTAGATTGTTCCCTTCTCCTGCCTTCTCCAAACTCTTCACCCTTTTCTGAATAACCCTGTTGATTTCAGCCTTTAAAGCTGTGTTCTGAGAACAACCAAAGTTGGATTCCCGCTGCAGAATCAAGACGACTCACCTTAATGAGTTTGAAGGCTTTAATCTGCCCGGTGTGCCTGACATGAGGACCTTGGCAGAGGTCGACCAGAGTGCCACACCTGCACAGAGAGAAAGCAGAAATTCTAGTGCCACAGATGTGATCATGTCCTTAAAGTGTATGGTAACCCTAAAATTAATATTTAGGTTATGCATTCCATTAATAATGAACTCTTGTACATGATGCTGCTTCTTCCACTACACACTCATTTAGCAGCAAATACCCGGTGATCCTGCCAGCCCCCCCTCTCTTCCTGTTACAAACTGACCACAAGGACGGAAGCAGATAATTGTCAGCTTGGGTTCCAAAGCTTCCTGATCAGAGCTACAGGATGGTGTGCCAACACCCAGCGTGCCTGAAGTCCCGTAGTTAGCTTTGCTGTCATACCCCAGGCCTGCCCTGCATTACTTGATTGGCATTTCTCCCCGCTGTTCTAGATGTCATTGTGCTGCACGTACTCCCCCTATGACTACGACTACTGACCCCCATATGACTGACTTATTCCTGGTTATCCTGCCAGAATTCCAGTGCCCCTGTGAACTTTGTGCACCAAACTGAAATCTCAATGTTATCAGCCTGCCCAGCTATCTTCTGTGAACTTTAAACCAGGGCCCCTGTTTGTAGTCCAAATCCGCATAGCAGCCTAGTGTGACAACACTGCTCCTGTACAGATGCAATACAGTAGGGGAGTGTTGTCACCATAGGAGGAAGTCCGATACTGGCAGAACGACCAGGTGAAAATAAAAAGGAAAAAACATCCAGGGACAAGTACCCTGCTAAATATTTTGAGTTCAGATACACATATAGAGGGTACTTGTAGCTAGTAAATATCCAGGCTTTGATTGCACTATTTTTAAATAAGAGAATCTGCGCTCTTGGAAAGATAGGGCTAAAAAGTTGGAATATTAGTCTTATATATATATATATATATAAAGTTAATAATGTTTCAGTGAAAAAATATCAAAAAAAACTATGTATTAATCAAGTGATAAAAAAATGTATTTTTGCACTATTGATCTTGAGGTGATCATTGACTTTTTTTTACAAGCTTTTTGTTCATTTTAGCTTGTCATTTCAATATACAGATTTACAAATTGGCTACTAAAAGGAGTTCTGTATTTCACTGCAATCACTCAGCCTCCCTGCCACTAAACTGCGGAGATAAATGAGCAGCCACATGGGAAGTGCGGAAGTGCATTGTTTTTAGTGGATTAGCTGACACCATAGATGTCCTGAGGAGTTAAAAAGCTGCCTAGCACCACGAAGGAGGTGGCAGTATATAGTTCCAAACCATACACAGAGGAGAATAATCATTTTTAAAAAATGAACACGTTATAAAAAGATCACTGTGCTGCCTCCCCTTTCACTGCCCAGTCACAGACGTCCATCAATAATGCAATACTAAACAGCCGTCCAGTCTATTGGAGCCCTGATGAAGGGAGATGTCTTTGGCCCCTGAAGCACATTAGCTGTATTTGTATTCTGGTCGTCATCAGACATTTAATGAAAGACTTTTTGACTCCTATCAGCTGATTTGGCGCTCTCATTCGACCCAAATTACAGTCACAGGCTGGTCCAGGATGACCTGGGCTCAGAGGAAGCGAGTTGAATAGTGCCGGCCATCAGAGCGGGGACATCTAACAGCAAAGACTTTCTACGGGGGAAATTTCTTCATTGAAAGTGAATAGTGGAGTATTTTTTTTTACATACACATTAAGTCTCTAAAAAGGCTTCCAATGTATCACACCGATTTTCATATAACAGTGACACATCGTAAACCAAAATAGTCAACCATTTAAAAAATAACAAATACATTTAAAGCAGAACTCCAGGCAAAAATGTTATTAACTCTTGCAGGCGGCTACCCCCAGGCTATAAGGGTTAAGTGCTCATTCGTGTCTAGGTGCTAAAAAAAAGTTATACTCATTCGATCCTCAAAGCCGGCTTGCTCTTAGACCGGTCCCTCCCCTCTGCAGAAGTCTAAGGATCCTTGAGTCATCACGTTCTATATACAGTGTATAGGATGTGAGGACGCCAAGGGACATAACCTTCACTGCAGCAGAGCAGGAGACCGGGTTCAGGGACCAGAGAAGCAGCCAGCCAGCTCCATGGTTCGGGTGAGTATAGCTAGGCAAAGATGAGCACTTAACCCTTGCAGTGCGGGCGAAGCCCCACTGCAAGGGTTAAGAACACTTTTGTGTTCTGCTTTAACTTCTGCTACTTTACCTGTAAACACTTGTAGTTGCTTTCACTTTGTCTTCAATTATCTGTACTTTAAACTTGTTGTGCTGTAAAAGAGAAAGGATTGTTTGCGTTACAAATGACCCGGCCTATATTTACCATATACCAGACACACATAGTACAGAGCCATAACATTGACAGGGTCATATGTGGAAATCGGTTTTATCATCGTGTCATTATCGGCAAGGAGGCCGCTCAGGTATTTAATACGGTTTTAGAGAGTTGGAGTGGCGACCCTGTACAACTGTGAAAGTCTATATGAAAGAATGATAACTTTAGAATACAAATCAAAAATCAGTTATGTTAAATGATGCCTGGTTATCCAAATGTGGGCAACCCTAAAATCAATTATTCTGAATGAATAGCACATCTGATGTACAGTAAGTGTCAAGAAGCATATTCTGAGGAGGATAGACATGGTACAATGTTAATCAGTGTTCTAGAAATGAAGTCATCCCTAGCATCCCATTGTGTATGCTCTTAGCTCTCTGGAAGAAGTCCGGCAGAGGACAAATGACAAGTCACCGGTATTCACATGGGGTCTCCCTGCAGCTGATCTTTTCCCCCCCATTACAGGCTTGCCTTGCAGTGTTCTGCACTGTCTCGCTATATAGAGGCAGCCATCTGGGTACAGGCAGGGCTTTGGCTCCTTATGTCAGAGCCACCAGTAAGGAGAACAGTGAGCAGCACAATACTGATCTCACCAAATCTCTCCGCAGATTTCCTTAGACTAGCAGTCAGAGGCATTAGATCTCACATTGCAGATATACAGCTATGAGGCTGCAGACACAGGAGTGCCTAGACACCCTCACATACCAGGAAGTGCTCTGTTATGAGGCTGTAGACACAGGAGTGCCTAGGAACCCTCACATACCAGGAAGTGTTCTGCTATGAGGTTGTACACACAGGAGTGCCTAGGAACCCTCACATACCAGGAAGTGTTCTGCTATGAGGCTGTAAACACAGGAGTGCCTAGGAACCCTCACATACCAGGACGTGCTCTGCTATGAGGCTGTAAACACAGGAGTGCCTAGGAACCCTCACATACCAGGACGTGCTCTGCTATGAGGCTGTAGACACAAGAGTGCCAAGATATCCTCACATACCAGAAAGTGCACGGCTATTTTTCAGGCAAAAGGTACATCTTCAGGTCACTGTTTAGGCACAATTAAAAAACGTAACGGTTTGCAATGTTATGGGGATAACTTAGAGGTTTTTAGCTTATGTTCACTTTAAGGACATGTATAGCCTTTACAATGCATTAACATATACAATAATGTTGCTGAAAAAATTTGTTAAAGGTTTGTCTGTATGTACAGATTTTACATGTAATTCTATATGTCCATGGGGGCATTTGCAATGCGGCACAATGTTTGCCCTTTACTACTCCTTCTCTTAGTACAAGTAGTGAAAGTAATGCACTCCCAATGTGGCCGGTATCTCAACAGTATGAAAATGGGATGAATGCACCAAACCTCTAAGGGCTATTCTACAAACCTTCCATCCAATATAACTAAATATGATCATAGTTTTTTTTTTCTTCTTCAACACCTCCAACCCTTGTAGAGAGTTAAGAAACAAGAATGCCTTAGTGGGTAGAAGGTAAAGACTGCTATGTGAAAACAAGAGACACCGAGTTATCTTACTGGAATTGAGCTTGTTATGGCTAAATAATGAGACAATCATCTGGAAATTTACTGGAGTTGGTATTAATGAGGATATGTCATATGTTAAAATCACACAGGACTCTGGTCATTATTAATCGTTCATTTACAACAGTGCATACGTGGTGGTGGTGGTGGTGAAGGCGGTTAAAGCTAACCTGTTTCTTGGCACTGCATGGGCATTGAGCAGGTCCACGGTTATCATATAAGTGAACCCACACTCATACAAAGCTGGCTCTTTTTTGTGTCTGCAAGTATCTTCGTTCTAAATAGTTTTCCAAATGCCAAGCCGCCCCTATACCCTACATGCAAACAATTCAAAGGTCTCAATTTCCACTTCCATCCACCAATCCAATGGTGGATGGAAGTGGAGAGCTATGGGGTTAAAAGTACTATGAGGCTGAGTGATTTTCACACGTTGGATTGTTGAACGGTGGTCACAGGCTTATCCCACAAAGAGAACCTGTCTGACACTAGGCTGGATGCGGCCACCAAAGATCTGGCTGATGGAATCTCCCAAGACACGAGAAGGTGGTTGGCCATCCAGTCCCACTTGCTGGTATCTGCTCAGAAACAAAATGGCAGCTGTTGGTGAACAGACATTGTGACTAATAAACCACATCTTACGTCTCCGCATAGGGTTTGAGGAAATACGTGAAATATTCTTGCATATGTATGCAGAGATATTTTAAGACGGAATAAAACACCATGACCAAGACTTTTTTGCCGTTATGTTTGGAAATAATACGGTTTGCTGTTCAGAGTTTAGCGATAAGACATATCAGTAGAGTGGAAGTAGATAAAATATGGACTGATATTGTTCAGAAATATAGAATGCTAACACGGCAATTGCGATGACCCTAATGGCTGCCCAGCACACGTAAAGACGGAGCTGGATGTGCCTAGCAGTCATGAAGTCTGTAGTATGGGGCCTTGTTTACAAGTTCTTACCTGAAATAGTTCTAGTAAGTCTTCCCGTGTCACTTCCACCCGATGGAAGGGAAGTTTCTGTTTAATGATATCTTTGCAGATGGCTTCCACACCAGGAAGGTCAGTGCCCGGCACATTACTAGTCACAGAGGAGAAAGAAACAGATTTTGATTGGCTACAAGAAGATTGAGTGATTGCAGAAAGTAGACATTACATTGTCACCATCCTAACAAATACTGGTGTACAAGGATTGTATAATAGGTTACACATTACAGCAGAAAACCACTTCCCCTTGTCCAGAAGGGAAAGCAGGCAAGGAATGTCAGACTTTAATGGGTTAATGGTACCCAAAACATACATTAGATTTAAAAAGTGACTTTTATTAAAAACATATATAGTGGACATTTGTGTGTCAAACAAAATATGTGTCACAATATTGTATCGGTGGCACATAAACTGCACCGCCTTAGGAATTGTCTCCTTTACCACTTGGACAGCAGTCATCTGTTATTTTCACCATAACAAGATGCCAATTAGTATTATAAAAAATGTACATTTACCAGACATCCCAACTCTCCCGGACGCTCCCACTATTAGATAGCGGCTCCCGGCTGCCTGGGAGAGAAACATTTTCTCGCGGAAAGGTTTACTCTGCTCTATCTAGCAGAGTAAACTTTTCCCTGCGATCTGGTTTTTTTTTTCTGACATCGGGTCCGCTGGTCGCAGTCAGAGAGAAAAAAACAAAACGGCATAGGATTGCATAGCTAGATTGCTATTGGCTATTTTACTTTGCAATAGCCAATAGCAGACTGGCTATTGCACTTGCCCACTGCTGCTGTCAATCAGAGGGGGACCTGAAGTTCTACATAAGGTCCTCTTCTAGCGATTGACAGCAGCAGAGGGCGGGTGCAGTAACCAGCTTGCTATTGGATATTGCAAAGTAAAATAGCCAATAGCAATCTAGCTATGCAATCCTATGCCGTTTTGTTTTTTTAAATGATTCTGACGGCAGCAGCTATCAGAATACTAAGAAGAAAAAAAAAAACCAGAGCAGATCGCAAAGACGCTATTGCTTCCAGTGCTATCTGCCATAATTTCAGGGGGGTGCCCTCCCACCACATCCGCGGATGGGGGGGCACAGAGGGCACCTCCCTGAAATGAGAAGGGCACCTCCCTGAAATTGCTTTCTTCAGGTTGGGATCCCTGATATACAGTTCAGAAGTATAAAAGAAATTGTAAAGGTTGCCCATTTAAGAGACATCAGGAGATTTCTTAGGAGAGTACAGGTAAGTGCATAAGAACAGGCGGGGTGGGCTGGTTGGCTAGGAAGCCCGCTTCACTTGTTAATAGGCAGCATGGCTTTCTGACCAATTGGGAAGCCGGACGGCACCTCATGACTCGCCGCATGACTTCCTGATTGGTCAGGAACCCAGGCAGCCTCTGAAGCTAGTGTTTTTGCTAGAACACCGGCTTCACAGGCAGTCAGGAAGCCGGGCAACGGGTCATGATCCGCTGCCCGACTTCCTGATAATCGGCGCACAATGCACTGGTACTCGGTATTGGCGAGTGCCAAAAAAAATAATTAAAAATATCGGTACTCGGAACTGAAAAAACGGTATCGGTGCATCCCTACTAACCGTAAGGTAAAAGAAATTTATATATGTTTTACATCTTCAAAAGCTTGTCGGCCTGACAAGCTCTGAAATTTCAGTTTTCGGTCTAAAAATTCAATTTTGTTGCATCCCTAGCCAGCATCCAATCTTAAATCTTAGGCATCCAGACTCCTATCCAACATTCACTGTGCATCTCTAAATATATTCCCACACAATGGACCGGATATGGCAGTCAAACAAATGCAGGTGAGCTCGCCCAAATTCACAGGCCTATTATCAGTCACTATAGCCGAGCTGGCAACCTCAAGACTGAATAAAGAGACACATTCTTTGGAAGGTAATTCAGCTCCCGTATATGGATTTGCAGCCATGTAGTCCATTTGAGTTCAGCTTTAAATACAGCAACATATTTCAATACAACCGATCCTTTCGATTGTGCTTACTTGCCCATTTATAACTATTCCATGATAAGAACTTTGCCGCTTTGATGATTTGTGTTCACAGGAAAGGGATGGTAAACATTGAAATATAGAATGATCAACCATGACAGAAGCCAAACTGCAAAACACCCCAACAGCAAAGCTGTTAGCACAAACCATATAACTGGGAACAAACCAGACACCTAGACTCGGCTGCTCTTTACCTGTTGGACAGATGTATGTCGTAGAAGAAGCCATTCTCTGTGCTGGGTCCATGGCACAAGAGGCCCCCATAGAACTGCTCCAGGGCTGCCCCGAGGACATGGGCACTCGAATGCCAAAATATCTACATTGGAAGAGAAAACGTCTCAATGAGTTTTACTCCGTTATAGGTCACTGACAGTTTGGCTGCTACCATACATGTAGAGATTGAAGAGGGTGAAATCACACGCCCCCCCACTTGTTCTCTTGTGTGCAAATTTCACGGGGGGGTCATTTATAAATTATGGAACCTGTTACTGAGACGCAAATTAAATGAACTTACATCTTGCCCGTCGCGGGTGTCAAAAGTGAGGAACTCAACCTCAGAGTCTGCTTCCAGGGGTCGGCTCAGATCATAAACGGATCCATTTACTCGGGCCCCTATGATAGTATGTATGGAGCCTGGCCTGGGAAAAGAACATGATCATTTCAGTTTTCAATTTGTAGCACAAGTGAGCTAATGGAAGAAATTTAACTTTTAAGTTAGAATCATATTTCGGTGCATTTGAATCTGACTCTTCAGTATTAAACTCCCAAACTTTTATTCAATAATGTATCCAGTTCATAAAAAGACAATGGCGGCAAGTATTCTTTACATTTTTATACACCTCTGCTTCCCTGAACTTCCTGTCCAGTACAAGATCACAAGGGACAGAGCAGTCTCCAGTAGCCGTCCATCTACCAGCTTGGGTTAGAGAGAAGAGAGGAGCAGGAAGCAGTAGAGTGTCTTGCCTTGCTGTTGTGGAGACACACACAGTTTACTAGCACCCACAAGGGTGGCTCCATAGGACCCTGCAAGGGGAAAGAGCCACCCTCTGGGGACCAGCTGATTCTGCAGGAAATGAGAACTTTTAAACATCAAGGAGCAGCATCCATTGTAAGTGATTTAATCAGCATTTGTAAAAACATTTTGACTTCAATATCACATTAAGGGTTAGAGGACACCTAAAGTCTGACAGCTGCTGCTTTGTGACAGACTAACCTCACTGAGATTTCCCGGCTGATAGGACTGATTAAGATTCTTGCATTGCATAAGTGAAAATGTCTGTACACTGAAAGAACTCCAGTAAAAAAATATTAACCCTTCCAGAGGGGCTACCCCCACACTACAAGTGTTGAGTGCTCATTTTTGTCTAAGTGCCAAGAAAAAAATAATTATATATATATAATGTGAAGATGTTGTACTCACCATCACCAGACAATCTGAGCCGGCTCCCTGCTTCTGTGATACTGAAGCCCGTCTCCTCCTCTGCTGCACAGATGGACTACTCCTTGGTGTCCTCATGTCTATAGAATGTGATGACACCAGGACCCTTAGACTGCTGCAGCAAAGGGGGAGAGATGCTCCAGACACCAGTCTAACAACCCGTCTCGGATGATCTAATGAGTATAACATTTTTATTTTTTTAGACACAAAACGAGTACTTAACCCTTGCAGTGGTGAGGGGTAATCCCACTGCAAGGGTTAATCATTTTCTTTAACTATAGAAGAAAGATTCACCTCGTCTGCACAGCCACGTCATAAGGCGTTGTTCTCCATGAGTGCCCGCTCACCACAGTCCCATCCAGTAACGAGATCCGGATTGGACATGTCTCCTGTGCCACCCTCTCTGCCAGTCTGGTGTCATATCTTTCCTTCAGCTTTTCAAAGCATCGTAGCCGTTCGCTGATAAACTCCGGCAATGGTTTGTTCTGCAACAAAATCACAAAACAGGATGCCAATCAACATATAATAAAACTATGTTATGTAACCGGTTAAGCAGTCTGGTCTTATAAAATCCATAGGGGCAATCCATGCGTTGCCTTGCAACTATTATGCCCTCCCCAGGCACATTTGTAAATCACAAACCCAGACAGGATCATAAACTGCAGTTTACAGTACCTGGCTTGTCCAGGGCCAGCACGCTGCTTCTGTCTTCCCCTGTTCCCAGAAAGCTCTGATAAGTGGTTCATGAACCTAGAGACACTCGGCATAACAATTGCACCCAGTGCATGCGTGAGGTGAAATCTGGAGACGCAGAAACACCATGCCTGCCCTGGGCAATGTAAACTGTAAGCTGTAATTATTTCCTGCAAGTAGTAATGCTTACAAATTAGTAGAGGGGTGGGGAGGAATGTGGGGAGTACAAGGAGAATGTATATCAGGGGTGGGAAACTCCAGTCCTTCAGCTGTGCTTTCACTACAAACCCCATCATGTCTATTCTCTGGGAGCCTTGCCTATAACAATCAGTCATGCAATAACTCATTGGACTTGTAGTTACACAACAGCCGGGGGGCCGGAGAGGACCACCTCTGATGTACATCCATTTTTTACATTTACATTATTTTCAGTTCAGATTCCACAGACTATTGACGGTCTTAGAAAACACATCTCTCTCTCCTAGTAGAGCACCTGCCTGTTTGGACATACAATGGCTTCCAACAAGCATGCAGCCTGCTGCTAGATGCTCTTATTATAAATTCAGCAAGCTCTACAAAATGAGCGTCATGGTTGCACCCTTTATTTTATTTACTTGCAACTTAAAGTAGATACAAAGCATGCAAAAATTATTTGAAATCAGCTTATAATCTTGTAAAAATTAAAATACAACTGACCAAAATCATAATTTCCCTTAAAGTTAGGCAGAATGAAGAAAAGCATTTGATTGCCTTTGCAATGTTTAAATTTAACAGCAAAAATAAAACGTCAGAATGTTTGTTCACTTAAGTTACCAGGTTTTCTTTTAACAGTGCTTTCCATTAATGTGTGAACCCAGGTCGCCTAACCTCGGGTAAAACAGTAACTGACACACACCCCGCCCCCCCCCCTCCCCCCCAATCAGTTGCCAGACAGATAGTGCCCCTGCCACAACTGACTGGGCTGGGAGGTGGGTCACTCACATTTGGTCTTTTCCTTGGTCAAAGTGGCCTCGGCAAAGTGGAGAGGCTACTTTCTCCCCTCTTATCCATCCTCAGTGTCTGCTCTTCTGAAACGGAATAGTGGCTTGCATATTGACCACTTGAATTGGCTCATTGTATACCCCATTTGTGGTAATATATGTGGGTGAGGATCAAGGCATTTAAAGCAAAACTGTGGGCAGGACAAAGTTTGGAAAGCAGCACCGCTCTGCCGGTCTGATCATCTGAAGCATTACTAAGAAAATTGCAGCCAGATTTCTCATGTAGCCCTCCCTTCCTGCTCGACTCGGCTCCCTATAGGTCTGAGAGGCTGGCCATCATACTTATGGCCAACAGGGAGTGAAAGATTGAGCAAGAGCAAGCACCAGCCTGAGCATGACAGCTGTGGTTGGTCAATTCAGATTTGTGGTCTACCGAGAAGCTCTATCATCCAAATATGGTTGCAAACTTATCCAAGGGGGCATTAAGAGTTAATTATGTATTTCCCCTATCCTTGGTGTTTCACAGACTGTAGTGCTCTTTCAGTATACTATGATGTACAAGCATAGAACCGACGGTTGCCCTTCTGATAAGTCGTTGTACATTTAATTCATCAACCTACCTGCACATCTTGGTGTGTATTATCAGCAGAACTGTGCTTCCACCTTCCACTGTGTGCTGCAGGAGATCCATTCCAGGAACACTACAAAATAACAGGCAACAAAAGAAAGAATTTAGACATGGATATAAGAGAACAATACACAAACACAACAAGGACACAATCAATTCATTGGCAAAGCCAGCTCCTGAACTGTGTTAAAAGAGCCCATCAAACAGTGAGGTTTCTAAGTTACAGCCCATGTGGTATACATTATCATTTTATTCATGTCAAAAGAAAAAACATTACAGAGGAAAATATGTAGGCTGCCATTTCAGACCTTCTCGAGCCAGTTGCCTTGACTGCCTTTGGCTGCAATACTTTTCTAAATCACTTAAATGCGACACTTATGCAGATCAGGAAAGTCAGAGCAACCTATATGCTTTTTTAACAGAGGCTTCCTTTACAAAAGACCAGTCAGAAATGAGCATCTGTAAGATCTGAATCTGCATTCTTAAGCCATTGCAGTCAGTCTAAAGGTGCCCATACACTGCTCGATTCTCGTACGAGAATCGCGGGAAATCCCGCGATCATACGAGAATCGAGCAGTGTGAGCGGAGACGTGCGACCGTTTCTACTTAAATATCCATATATCCATTTGGAATAGATGACTGTTGCTGGACGCAGAATACATGCATCCAGCTACAATCACCTAACACAGAAGAATACTTCTATTAATCCAGCTCACATGGCCCTCCTTCGCCCCCCCCAGTTTTGGTTCTGGTTGAGATGACCTGTCGCCCAAAGCTGCTTTTCTTGCCATCAGACCAGTTCTGTCGTCCCCGCCATCACTTACAATGCATGACCATCAGCCACCACCAGGCCTGCACTGTATGCGATGATGTAGGAACGCCTGCCCACATGGTGCAGTGGTGGTGAGAGGACAAACAGACTGCTGGCTAGTGCAGAATTGTTGAACAACATACCTATTTGTATTTTAGCCGATTCCTGCTAAATGTAACAAAATGTAATCCACATGTGGCCCTACCTAGCTTGACAAATCCATTTTTTAGTTAGCTTTTGTCAAAAGAGTGGAGAATTGTTGGCCGAACAGAGACTGCAGTCAACTAGGCACAGTCACTGCTTGGATATTCTCCGACAGCTGCTGTCAAAATACAACAGCCAGCAAGAGATATTGCTTCATCCACATTGTTTAGTGTGGCTTGGGGACTCAAGCATTTTTCCCTTGTTCAGTTGCGGGGCTGAATAAGAAAAATTGTAGCAGGTATCGCCAGCTTATGTAAACGAAACTACACCCTAAAGGTGCCCATACACTGCTCGATTCTCGTACAAGAATTGCGGGAAATCCCGCGATCGTACGAGAATCGAGCAGTGTGAACGAAGACGTGCGACCGTTTACTGTACGGTCGCACGTCTTTTGTCTAAGGAGCACGCTAGAAAACCAGCCGAAAATCGTACGATTTTCGGCTGGTTTGAACGGTGCTCGGGAGACAAATGCTGAACGGGCCGGTGTGCGCACGCGCACTGCCTGTTCAGCATTGCAGTCCTCGGAAGCCCGCCCCTCAAGGGGGGCGGGCTTGCGATGATCGAGAGTACGATCTGCCTGTCCAAGATAGGCAGATCGTACGTTTTTGTAATCACTTTACAACCATCGCAAGACTAAGGTCTTGTGATGGTTGTAAAGTGTATGGCCACCTTTAGACTGGTGGGACAACATTCATCAATGTCTGGACTTCCACTTTAAAAAGGTTGATTTTTAACTCTTGCATGGCAGTAGTGCAGTTCGAATGGCATCCTTCAAACACTCAGCCCCCGTTCCCACTGCGCGATATGCAAATCGCGCGTTTGTCGCGCGATTTGCATATTGCGAGATTTGCCGCGCGATATCGCGTTCAAGCTTGCATTGAGCAAGCTTGAATCGCGGCTGAATCCGCTCCAAAAAGGGTCCTGCTGTAGCGACACACGACCCGCGACAGCAGGACCCTTTGCCCCATTGAAATGCATTGGAGCGCGATATCTCGCGGTAATTTGCCGCGATATCGCGGGAATTACCGCGCGATAAATCGCTCAATGTGAACGGGGCTTCAGCGAAGAATAGCATCAGATAAGAGGGGAGATTTTAATGCACCGACCAAGCTCAGTGTCTACATTGGCCATGGTTTTAAAATAACCCGTCATCACAGATACCAAGGAGTCTGCCACTGCTGTTACCGTCTGCTTTTTAATATGGATGATGCTGATCCTGTTGCTTCAATACCTCGAGACGCTGACCAAGAAGCAGCATGCAGATAAAGACTTTTGGCCTTTCCAGTTTCTCATCTGTATATGCTCCGGGTCAGTGACCAAGTACTGAAGCCAACTGATCAGCGACAGCCACTCAATGAGCATTTTCAGGAGGTGCAATGACAGTCTCAGAATCCCTCCTGTGTCAGGTATACTTTGGACAATATGCTCTCTACACCCAATGCATCCTGTGCAGAAGAGAGACTTGTGAAATGAAAAAGAGTAATGTCTATCGTTATTACAAAGGGATATTTTACCTGGTGAAGTCTCCATAGTATGGGCGGGAGATTGTCATAATGGGTGCAAACCCGGAACCCACAATAGAGGCGCCCCCCCGCCCCGAGATATGAGAAACTGGCAGACAATTTAACTCTCCATCCTCTGAACAACAGGTGGACAAACCCTGGCCCCTCCAGCTGCGGTGAAACTACTAATTCCATCATGCATCTGCCTCCGGGAGTCATGCCCATGGCTGAGAATCTTGCAATGCCTCACTAGATTTGCAGTTCTACAACAGCTGGAGGGTCGGAGATGGCCCACCCCTGTACTAAAGATTGAAACATAAGCTTTTGGGTGGACTGACCCTTTAAGAACAATGAAACCTATGACAAGTACTGAACTTACAAAGTTTCAGGGTTCACGCAAACGGGCATGATACAATACCGATATCTAGGCAGGATTGCGCTGGTGGAAAGATCCTGCAAATAAAATGTAAAAAGTATCGGTACTTAAAAGTGCGTCTGCTTACAAGCAAGGGCGTTCATACCCGTAATATTAATTTCCTGTGAACCTCAGTATGTACATGGGTTCACAAAGAAATACTGACCGTGAACGCAGAAATCTCCACTGTGATTTGATGCAGGCTGAGCGCAGGGGAAATAACATACTATATCGCTGCGTTTAGATTCATGAAATAAAAAAAGAAATGCTGTACGGATCTGAACGCGCTTTGTTCTACGCTCGCGTGCATGCCATGGTGTGAAAGATTAATAGTGCCAGGGACAAATGGTTCCAGATCTTGACAGTCCTGGAACAAAGCCACAGCTGACCTCCTGATGAGGGTCATGTCAGGCTGTATGAAGGAGATCATATTGAGCAGAGCTGCATGCAGTGTCTGCAGACTACACATCATTCACAGGACAGGACACTGACCCCACACAAGGCAGCCCGATGTCTGATTAGAGAGCTCCTCTTCACCAGCGCCTTCATCATTCTCAGCAGTCAGCGTGCACCTGGCATGCACACACAGCAGCCATGACAGTCTGGGCACGCCTCCTGCTGGCCCCAAGTCATGTGACTCCTGCATCACGTGACTGCTCAGACACTCCACGCTGTCAGCACAATGCAGAGGCTGAACGATCACAGCCTGTCTGAGCAGACTGCTATGCAGAAGTATCGGCTGAAGTCTCACCAGCACAATGATGACACCTTGTGGAATGATCAGCTGCAGCTATAAACACAGGAAATTCCATTTACATATCCTGCAGAGGACAAGCAATGCTCAAGTACACCCCCAATAGGACATTGTGGTTTAGCTGCACTAGTTACTGAAGAAATGACAGATTAAACTGCAGATTAAACTGCATGCATAGCTCTTTTTTTTCTGGATAGAGTTGGGAAGGGTTAAAACTCCTTTTAATGTCCTGCTGGGGAGATTTCCCTTCACTTCCTGTTTTGGAGAAACAGGAAAGCGAGGATCTCTCCCTATAATAAAATCTCTCTAAAATCAGGGGAAACCCCCACTTGTCAGCAGGATGTTTGTCCCCAATGAAGAAAGATTTACAGGTCGCCTCTTGCTTTGGTGGCAACTCAAAAATGTTGGGGCTCCCCATTGCTTTTGGTCTTGATGACAATGGTCATCAGGACAAATAGAAGGATAAATCTCTGCTTTGGGGGCTCAGAATAAAAACTTGACACAGGCTCCCAACAGTGGAGTCACAAGGGGGGTGCGGCCCGCACCCGGGTGACACAAAAATGACTGGTCATTTTGGTGTCACCCGCTCTAAAAAGTCGGGCACTCGGTCATGGACCGAGAGGGCGACAGTGTCAGAAGAGAGGAGGGGACCCGGCAGCATACTACATCCCGCTGGGTGAATAACCCCTCCTCTATCTTCCGGCGTCCAACACCAACATGGCCGCCGGCAGGAGTCAATTAGATGGCCATGCATGCGTGATGACGTCCACGTCATGGCGGTGTGTCACCCGGTCTTCACGGCGGGTGAGATCTGGCCTTGGGACGCCCCTGGGTCCCACAACTATATCCAGGACTAAAATAAAATAAAAAAGTGCCTTTACATACACTTTGAAAGAAGTAAAATCAAACTTTAGCAGGGTATACATGGTACGAATTTTGGGTTCGAAATTCAGACAGTGGGTGCTGCTGTCGGCCTGATTGGGGGGGGGTTGGAAAATTCTCGTCCGAACAGAGCTAGCAGCCAATCAGCTCTCGCTCCGTTTGAGTATTTTGACAGCGGACGGCGGCCACTGTCAGAATATGATGCAAACAGCAGGGGATTGGAAATAGTGAAGCAAGAAGCTGGTTTCCATTTACCAGGACCCTCATACGACAAACTGTTTCTAATGGAGGCAATGGCTTTGAGATAGACACGCAAAGCTTGAGCTACATCCAGACAATGAAGGGAAATCATCTTCTGGATGTACTAGGGGGCAGACAGAGGGACCGTAGCACAATGTTCTGGTTAAAATTGAAAAGCCAATCTTCTATTGCATTAATGTTGATTTGCAGTGCTTGCATTGACATACTATTGATTGCATTACATTGCCTATGTGGCCTTCTGTAGCCAGCAAACACTGTATAACATGCTGATTGTTACTACCTTGAAAACCCAATAAATATTTGGATACAAAAAAATTTAAAAAGCCAAAACCACCCTGCGAACAAAGAAGCCTCTAGCCCCTAATACCACCTTGTCCTACTGTAAGACCATAAAAGGTACCTTACAGTACAAAGCCACTAGTTCAAAAACACGCCTTGCAGAGGTGATGGCAACACTGAAAGCAACCTTGTGAGTGCTCATGGAAAGAGGAATAGTCCTGATAGGTTCAAAATGGTTTTTTTTGAAGAGCAGAAATCACAAAAGTCAAGTCCCATGATGAAACCAGTGGGCGCACAGAGGGAGCCGCACGAGAAGCATTCTGTACAAAGGTCTAAATCAAAGAATGAGTGGCCAACGGTCTTTGCAACAAGATAACAAGCACGGAGATTTGACCCTTAATAGTTCTCTGGGGCAATTGTTAATCCAGGCTCGATTGTAAGGCAGCCAGGATTCACCCCACTGAGTATTTTCTGCAGCAGACGTTTCTTTCCTCACACTAAGCAAAGTATACCTTACATGTGCGATGGAGAATCTTGCAGGAAGCGGATTTCCTGGCTTTTAAAAACATGAAGATCACAGAGTCAGAAAGGCCCCTGTCCCTCAAGGTCTGGACTTCCACAGCCATGCCATTACAGCCAGTGACCGTGAAGCAGGATGGTAAAACGGTCTATTGGTAGGAGCCTGCAGCGCATATGCCATAAACCTAATCAGAACAGAATAGAACATCTTCCTCGGCCAGTGCGGAGCTAAGAGTATCACTAAAATGCCCTCTATCTTGACCCTGCAGAGCAGACAAAAGGAGTTTCAGGGGAGGATAGGCTAGATCAAGTTGTACCGATCCCACCGAAAAACCAGAGCATCTACTCCCCCCAACAGAGGGTCTCTGCACCTGAAGACAAACCTGTCCAGGTTGCTGTTGAATCTGGAGACCAGAAGATCCACATCCAGCACCCCCCACCTGTAACAGGTTTTGTAACACGTCCGGGTGTAGAGACCATCCCCAATGGTCCAGATGCTGCTGGCTTAGGTAGTCTGCCTTCCAGTTGTCCACGACTGGGTATGTGAAGAGTAGAAAAGGCTGGAATGTGAAGTTCAGTCCAGGACAGAACCCTTTCTACTTCTCTTGCTGTGGCAAGACTAAGTTTCACCGTGATTAGTGAACGCCACTGCAGCTGCATCATCCAACTGGATCCCAATTGGCAGACCCTCCAGTCAGAATATCCAGGGTTTTAGCGACAACAAAATTGCTTGAAGTGCCAGAATGTTGTTTGGGATTCAGGATTCCTCCAAGTCAGAGTCCCCTAAACCAACAGGGTGCATAGGACTCCTCCCCAGCCTGTCGTCCCTTGTGATGATCTTCCAAGAGATTGTAAGGAAAAATTTCCCTAACTCGAGATCTAGATTCCTGAGCCACCAGGCCATTGACAACTTGGTCTTTGGTGTCAAGTGAATCAGTTCAAGAGACAAAGCCGATTTAATCTCACCATGACAGGATATTCAGTTAAAGGGTCTGGAGTGAAACTGGGCCAACCATCAGCCCCATGCTTCTCATGCAAAAGTGAAGACTCAGTTGACTTTTGCACTGAAGAGTGCGAGTCTGGGAGCAGAGAATTTGACATTTTCCTTATGGAAGAAAGACATGAGCTGTGTCCAGGGTCAGACCTAAATACTTCCAAACAATGAGTTAGCTCCAGAGCAGACTTCTGAAGGTTTAGGATCTAACCAAACCAAAGTCTGATTTGTCCGTGCCCCATTGTTGGTCAAAATTCAGAGTTAGGACTTACTGGCAGGCCAACAAGGAAGACTTCCCGGGCAGCATCACCACACGGAAGCTCTCTCAGCGTTCTGTGACGCGCTCCCCAGCTTGACTGAGGAAACACAAAAGACTGAGGGAGTGGAGGAGAGGAGGGTCTTTTAAACAGATTAAGTGACGTGTTTCCTGTGTGTGGGGGAGGAGATTCCATCTCGTGATGCTGTCCTGGAAGACGTTATGGGAAATCTGTCTGTTTTCTCAACAAGTGTTTGTTCAGTTTTCCTACAATGAGGATACCCTGGGAGCATAACAAGGCAACCACGAGGGCTAGAAACTGGGCGAATACACAGGCTGATGAATGGCAGTCATGAACTGGAACTGCTGAGGACCCACAGCAAAAAGTGAATAAATCACTGATGTGCTGGAAAAGTAAGAACATGCAAGTTACGTATCCTTCATGTCTACAGAGGCCACGAAGTCTTCCTGATGAGGGGAGGCTATAAACAGACCTGGTAAATTCCATGGAGAACTTTTGGGACAGATGAAGGACATTCAGGGCTTTGAGATCCAAGATGGAGCATATGCCCCTTTTCTGTTTTGGAACTGTGAAACGTTTAGACTAAAATCCTTGAAACCTTTCTGAAACAGGAACTGGGATAATATCCCCTTGCACCAGAAGACATGTAATGGCCGCATGGAGGTCTGCTAATCTGAGTGGTGGCACAGGAAGATGTGTAGCGAGGAGGGGGTTAGGAGCAGAACTCTAGCTTGTAGCCTGTTGAAACCACCTCCCATACCCAGGCATTTGAGATACTGTCTGTACAAATGTCCCCAAAGGCTAACAAATTTACAGCCACTTTGGAAAGTAGGGGCGCCCTTCATGTCAATGAGGACTTGTCTGCAAGGAATTTAGGGGCCCTAAAAAACTGGGCTCCTGGCTTAGGATTGGCCTTGGATGCTTAAGCCTGGTAATTAGGAAAGGATCTCTACTTTGCCTCAGAGGATTGGTAATTCTTAGCTTTAGGCCTAGGATGTTTTTTTATGGGGTTGAGGAGTACTCTTATCCCCAGTAACAACCTTAATAAGGGTGTCCAAGGCAGCTCCGTCGAGATGCTCACCTTCAAAAGGCATGCACAGCAAACACTTGCGTCTCACATCCTCCCTCTCACCCCAAGGCACTGCAGCCCACATGGGGGTGGAAGGATTCAGAAACAGAGGCAGCACTGCCAATCCAGAAAACAGTGGGTAGGAATAGATTGTGGCTAGTTGCTAATTGAAAAGGTACAGGCTTGTGAATCAGCAGTGACAATGGTAATAGACACAAATGCTGCAACATTTATTGATCCCACTGTAGTACAAGGCTACATGTGAGTGGCAATTCAGCTCTGAATTCAGGAGCAGTGCAGCATTGTTGCCCCACCATTACAGAAATCTGCATTAATAGTATTAAGTATTACAACACGTATTTTCTTTTTTAAATGGGAGGCCATAGCCCTACTTTAATGCAAATAATATGAGAGAGAAAGAGAGGGGGCTACCATATTTGCTTACCTTGTTAGGCTAACATATTAAGAATGGTTGTGTACACACCCCACACACATAGCAGCCATATGTGTATATACACACGCAATGTAAAATTACATTAAAAATTAATTTCAGGTAAGCATAATGACTACGCATGTGTTGATTGAGAAAGACGCTATAGTACCCAGTAAGTTGTGCTCACTTTTACATATCTAAAAGACATTCCCAGCCATATGAAACTTTTGTATTTCATGCTTGTGTATTTCTAAGCCTCATAGCCAATTTTTACTACAGTAGAAAAAGTTTAAAATCGCACAGTATTGAATAATCAAACTTCTACATGACTATTGCATGATTATTTCATATATGCTCTGTTGCAAAGAAAACCTTCAATTAGCCATCTCTGAATACACAGTTCCACACAACTTTTAAAATATGTGATGCACAATTTAGTTTTTTTAGGAGAACAGGTCAAAAGTCAGTGAATATGACTGCATTAGAGCAGTGCACTATCGACAAGCAACAAAATCACCATTTAGAATTGCCAGTACAGCTTGCACAACAGAAACCCGATTCACCAACTAGAGCAACTGATGGTGGGCAATTTAAGAGTGGTAATGCTTGAAAAAAATAAAATCGCCCAAGTGGCTTAGGTCTTAAATCACTTACTTAAAGCTGAACTACACACAGATTTAAAAAAGACAAAACATTAATGCAGTTCTGTATGCATTAAAGTCTATTTCCAGGAAAATTTTAATGTCCAGGGGACCTGTGCAAAGGACTTTTACATATCTGATCCCGCAGGCTTCAAGACCAACACCCACAGCCTCTCTCCCCTCCCCTGCGCTGTGGCAGTTGGAGGCCCTTTAGCGTCATCACATACAATGCAAGTCCCATAGCCCTGCGTTATGCATGAGGATGCCAAGGGACAGTCCACAAGCCAGAGAGTGGGAGGGAAGATGTGAGCACCGACTGCCGGGGGAACAGGGATCAGGTAAGTAAAAGTCCTTTACACTGGTCCTGTATTTTTTTTTTTTTTACAACCAGTGTGAGTACATGAATCTAACTTGTAATT